TCACATAAGGATGTAGATGAAAGGGGAGCTGGAAAATGTAGTCTCTTCCAGGGCAGCTGCCTCCTGATAACAACTCTACAGTATGGAATGGAGAACATAAATGTTGGTGGACACTGCCAATCGGTGTATGAGAATGTACAAATATAGCAACTATAAAATTCTGAATAATTATTTATTAGTATCTAATAGTCCAGTGTATAGGTACCAGTGTCAGTGGGACATGTTCTTTGAGGTCTTCTGTATTTTTTTATCCTACAGTGATTAAAAACAGAGCTACCCAGAGCTGTAATTTGTGACTATAGAACACTTTCTTTCTTTGAAAAATTAATTGCATCAGCTTCAGACCTGGGATGTTTTGGTTCTATACAAAATTGCCAGCAATCTAAGCTTCTGTATATTATTTGAAAAAAATGTTATTAATATTTTCCATATTTTTTTCAGGAATTTTCTTTTCAGTGATCTAGTTTTACAAGTATAGTGACATAGCAATTTTTTCCAATATTATGCATAAGTAATATTTTAGATTCTTGTAATATGATTTGATATCTGAGACCTAGAGATTTTTTAATTAATTGGATTTTTTGAACTTTCCAAAGATATCTGATGTATTTTTTTATAGAAAGTGCCGTAAATATATAATAAAAATAACATTTGTCCTCAAAACTGTAAAGATATGGATGGCATCCTGCTAATATTTGATCAGAGCCTCGCTGGATTTCCGAATGCCTAATTACGAAATGCTCAAAGTGTTCCATGATATTTACAAAGTTCATTAATGAGAAATATTCATATTGATTTTTGGCATATATTTCTAAAATTATGTAAGAGGGAACTCTTTATATATCCATGGAAACAAACTGCCTGTAATTTTCTCTTAAACGTGTTTTGGAATGGATACTTCATATTACTAATCTGTAGTCATTCTCATAACCAGTGTCTGACAAGAATACATGCCGCTTCATGGTTGGGTGACTTTTTTATAATTTTATTGATACCATTCACTTTTTGTTCTTACCTTCTAATTTGTTGTCAATTGGGATTATTTTTTAAATATAAATCTTTTATTGTAACTACTACTTGCAATTTATGGCCAGTTGTAAAATTTTCCGGTGTTTCCAAGTTACTGGTGCCAGAAACAGATTGAATTAACATGGATTTACTTATTTGTATTTTTTTCTGGTTCATATGAATGTTGTACACATAAGACTATCCCCCCGCCCCCAAAAAAAGAACATTGGAAGTTAATTACTTTGGCTCATTATTCTGCAGCTTTATCTTAAACATGATAAAATAGTACATGCAATCTTGCTAAATTCACAATGCTATATAAATAATGCCATCTCCAATGGAAGATTAACAAAAGGACCTATGTCATCATCACAGAGGGTTATAAGAATGAATTTATACAAAACTAGTGCACTTTTTGTCTTTAAACCACTTTTCTCTTAACAGGCTGTCCTAAATTTTTATTTTGAAAGAAAGCATTTTGCATGCTAGGAGGTAAGAAACATAAGGAGGGTAATTATAATGGGATTTAAATAATTCACTTAGATTTCTTTGCCAATAAAATAAAGTGTATTCTCTTGGTTTATTTTTTATAAGCTCTGAAATATGTCTTTCAATTTACTAATATTATAAAAGAAAAAACTCAACACTGTCATCTTCCCGAATCAAATATTAATGTTTTCCAGCAACAGATTTGGCAATCATTTAGAGGCAAGTAGTATTATGCTTTTTAGATTTTCAAATATATCTGAACGGCTGTTGGTGGCTCCCCAAATCAGGTCAGATGCACTCTCTGCAGGAACGTTTGCCAGAGGTACTGTATGTTCAAATGGAAGATTTTCATGTTTCATAGTCAGCCTCATTTATTCTCCAGACCTCTAAATTTTTCATGCTAAGTAACAGCATCTTACTTTGTCAACCATGGGGTCTTTATTAATTCAACAGAGTCAACAGGGCTGATTTATTCTCTCTCTTCTCAGTTGAATTACCAAGCACACAAATCAGAGAGGAAATATTTCTAATACTAAAATGTTCTCCAAGCCAGTAAATCTGGGATTATCTCATCATACTGATTATGTCAAAGCTCTTCAGTCACATTGTGCCCTAGGACATAAAATTGAATAGTATACCCACAAAGGGCCCCATCCCAGAGTCATAGGAAGAATTCCAAGTTTTTCTTACAATAATCAGAAAGCCATAATTATCAATGAAACTAGCCATGATCATTTATTGAATATCTGCTTGTCGCCAGGCACATTACGTGCATTACCTGAGTTTTAGAAGCATTGGTTCTGGATGTTTTTATGAAAGACCCGGGTGTGAAATGTGTCCTTGAAGCCCAGAACACTATCTCTCTGTTGCTCAAGTTTTATTTTTTCTAGTGAGTAGCTGTTGTAATTGCCTGTTTGGTGCTTAGGTGTGTGTTTTTTAAACATGTACAGAGAAGCGTATTGTGAATATAAGATTAATCAATATTTTATGGTGTTCCTTTTGTATTTGCAGTAAGATCAGATGTTGATTTGTTAATTAAAAGTGCTTAACGAAGGTTACTGGCAAGGATGACCTTCTGGTGAACTTTCTAATATTTATTGTTTAGAGCCTATAACTACATTTTTTTCTTAGACATTTGTTTTTGATTATTATAAATTATCAATTTAATGAAATGTCCATATATGGACAGTTATAACATTTCAAGCATGAGAGCTTTATTTTTTAAAAAGTCAAGTAGGAAAGCACGCACCCAAACTCATCCCTCAGGTAATTGTTCCTGTTTATCTTCCTTCCCACCCTCCACAGTTAGGGGTCATTACAGGGGAGGGAGGATTTATCATCATCCAAATTAAAGTCTCTTCTTTGGACTAACATATTGTAAATGTGCTGATAAACATTAAAGTATATATACCAAGAGTTTGAAATTAGCAAAACTGTCTCATGGAGCTTTTTCCTTTTAGTTTAAACAGGTATTTTGTCCAGGATGGCGTGTCCTCATTCCACCTTGCAGCCGTGTTCTGGCCCTCTTATGTGACACTCATTAGTGTTTCTTTAAAACCGCTTTCAATTTAAGCCACTTTCCAGCTTTATAAAAGCCTTGAAATGAAGTTAACCTGTGCAGAATCAAATGCCTTAGTAAGTTTAACCTCCATAAGAAGAAATTCCATTAAACCATTTTAAAGAGATAATAGTAATGTGGACTACTGTCAAGAGAATAATGATTCTTTGTACCACTTAACCACACTCCAAGGTTTGAAACTAGGAAGATGTCTGGGCCTTACCACCTTCTCCTTGATTCTTAAATATCTGAAACTTTTTTACCCCATCATGAAACTATCAGTGATCTTCCATGGAAAGATGCATTTTTTATATTTAAGCACAGAAGTTGAATAATTTGTACAGGGGGACATGGATAGAATTTAGAGTATAAGATTGAAAACAAACCAAATCCAGTAATGACAGTGAAACTGACGATTGCACTAAGTCCAACAATTTCAGTTACTGTCATCAACCGCTGATGAAGTAAGAGCATTTTAGTGATAGTTCCCAAATTGTGCTCTGTGGAACACTAGCCCCGTGTGTGCTAAGAGGCTAGTTTCAGTCATATTGCATACTCTTGGAGAGTCATAGAACACATTAGTATATTTAAGGCTCTGAGAAATCCTAAAGAAGCCTAGATAACTATGTTTAACTTAGTGTTATCTCAAACTTATTTGACCATAGAATTCTCTTCTTCACATAACATTTTGTAAAAACCCTTGGAACACTCTGTGGAAAATGTTATCCTGTAATATAGGAGGTGCTTTTAGATCCACAATCTTATTTGATCCTCATAAGTGCCAGCCCTCAAAAGGACTTGATCTAAGACATGATGCTGCTTCTGAGGTTGAGTTTGGGTAGGATAGGGGCAGGGGGAACTGATCTAGGATAGATGAGGGCTGTGGGGTAAACCAGGGCTAGAAAGAGGATCCAAGGAGAAGAAACAAATCATCCTAATTCCAAAAGCTGGCTGTCCAACACTCAGGAGCTGGACAGATAATGTGGATTTAGGAGATTCATCCAGCTGAAGGATGGGAGTGGGATACTAGGTCTGAGAAACACCGTCCCCCAGGTAGGGGCACACTTGGTGATGTTGTTTCCCCACTCCCCGAACATGCCCTGTATCTTTTGTACGTCCTTCCTTACCTCTGCTTGTTCTCCCTGAAATGCCTGGTCATTTGTTCTGAGAACATGTTAGGCACCATAAATTCAAAGATAAGAAACATACTTCCTGCCCTCAAGGAGCTTCATATGCAGTAAGAAGGCTTAAAAATAAACGGGCATTTATAACAATGTAATAAGATAAGACCATGGGCACAGATCAGAGCAATCTTGAAGGAGATTTGGTTCTTTAGAATTAGTATGAGTTAACTAGGTAAATAAGGTGGGAGGAAGGAAGATTGTAGCAGAGAAGAAAGTGTTGTTGAGGCAAGTAAAAAACAAAGTATGTCATACCGTAGAGTAGGTATTTGATCCAGAAGGCATTGGTTGGCACTGAATTTTTAGCGGGTGAGCCACAGAGTATGATTTGTCATTTAGAAAGATTTCTTGGCTGGAGTGGAGACTGAATTAGAAAAGAGCTAGAACAGAGGCAGAGAGACAAGCTATTTCAGTGACCCAGGCTATAGCACTGGAAAAGGCGAGGAAGGAAAAGATTCCAGTGATGTTACAGCAAGACAATCACAGGACTTGCTGACTGACTGAAAGTCAGGTAAGGAAACGTGAGGAGTCAAAGATGACCCATTCTCCTGTGTTCCTTTTACCAAAGAAGAAAAATAGAAATGGTTTTTGTTGAACCTTAAAACACGTCTAAGACTTATAAAAACTATTGGATCCAGTTCCAACTGCTTCCTATCACAAGGGACTGCAGTAGGGGAGAAGCAGTGTCACTAGGATCAGTACTTGCGTGGATGGGTAGAAGGACCACCTCTCAGATTGTAATTGCATTCCTTGTTCTTCTCGAGTCACGTAACGCAGACCACGTCCTGGATCCATCCCGTGATGAGTGCACTGAACCTGCCCTGCTCAGAGGAGAATGAAGAGGATTGCTCCAGAGAACTTCCTGACCAGAAGAGCTGATGGTCTTTTGTAGGCAGCTGAGCTCCATGGTCTTCTGGCATCTCAGTCTACTGGATGAGGATGGCTCTGCGGCACCTCCTATTCTTACTAAAATAGGAGTAAGATACACACTAATCTACACTACTTATTGAAGTTGTGAAGTGGAGACTGGATTCCGGCTATTTTTGTAAAACTTTTTGATATAACTGTATACATTTACAAGCTCAATCGCCACTACAGTAGTTCTTTAAGAATAATCTAGTCGTATTTTTTGAAATCATTTGTAATTAGATTTTATAATATGTATGCTTTTTTCTTATAATTCTATATATAGTTCTTTGTAGAGTATCAGATACAATGGTTTTTATAATTAAGACTTAGATTGGAAAATTATGTGAACATGGTGAAACGCTTCATGAATTTGTAATTCACTAACCTTTTGTATCGTATCTTAGGAAAGTGATTGAAGCAAGCTTTCTGGGGCTTCTTAAGGATCACATTCAGACAACTATCTCACAGGTTACTGAATACAGGCTTATCTCTTTATGGGTCTTTCTAATTTGCAAAATGCTTTTCAGACCCAGTTTTATTTAAACCATATGATATGCCTGTGAGGCAGATCCAGTGAGTATTTTTATTTTTGTTTTTCAGTTAGGGAAATAGTGGTTCAGAGAAATGAAGCACCTTATCCTGGAACAGCTAAGTCTTCTGATTCCACGTCCAGTCCTCTTTCCACCGCACCCTGCCGTCCCTGCAGAGGGAGGTTACAGCCCCACACACGTGGCTCTGTTGATGTGAGCTCCGCAGCTGTGCACTCCAGGGACCACAGAGATTCAGGGGGCACCTCTTCAGTCAAAGATGGCCCCCACATAACCCCACTATTCTCCTATAAACTCTTCCCGGTTCTTCACCCCCAGACACTCACCACGTAGGAACACAGCTCTGTGATGACATTTCTGCAGGCTTCTTGCAGCAGTTCACAATTTTCTAAAGTAAAGGGACTGGCTCACATCTGGGATTTGCCTTGCTTTGGTTGCGCTTGCCAGAGGGAGCGTTTGAGGGGAGTTGACGAGAAGAGGGGCGTCAGAATCTCCTCTGCTATCAAAAGAGACATCCTTGAACTCTTCTGCTATGAGTTCAAGACTGACCTCATTATTGCTGACTTATCACCCTCCAAACTCATTATACTTTTGCTCTTATTGTATTGTAAGGATGCTGCTAGACAGTTTCTGGAAGGAATGAGCCATTAACTTGGAGAGCTAAAGATTTTCTCTCAGTTTAATGATTTAAACTTAAAGCTGGGAAATGGGGGGTGGCGTGGGGATGAAGTTATTGTAAATGTCCTGGGCATTAGGTACCAGCTGAATAATAAAAAGGGACTGATTCTTATCCAATGTTATTATATTGTCAGGTAATATACTTAGGAAGACAGTGAGTAAGAATCATTAATCAGAATACCCCATTCTCAAACCACGCCTGATAACGTAGAGAAGTTATATTTGTCACTCTGGCCTCTTCTCTTCTCTTCTCCCCACCCCCACCACCATCAACACTCTTCCTCCTCCTTCCCCTCTCCCCCCCTCCTCCCCCTTTCTTCCCCGCTTCTCTCCCTCCGGCCTCACTTCTGAAATACAAGTAGGAAAAAGGAACTCAGAACCTTCAGGTTCTGGAAGGAACTTTGAAGACACCTGATTCAGTGATTTTCAAACATCGTTTGATGGAAAAGACTCATTCTTCAAGTGAAGTCTTATGCAGAACCCCAATATATGTAATAGATTTTTTAAGAATATTGGTGCTCAGATTGAAACAAGATGGAGCCTGGAGCCCTGTTAAAGCAGCCCCCAGCACTGCTGTGTAAACCTTGAGCTCCTTGGAACATAGTGTGAGAATCATGGATTAGAACCACTTTATAGGTGAGTAAACTGAGATCCTAAGAGTTCACACCATAAATTAGTGGCCAAGTCAAGATTAGACCTAGGTCCTAAGTATCCTAGTCCACTAAATTTTATATGGTATGTAATGTGCATGTATATTGTAAATATATGTGTGCATTGTGCTCACCCACATATTCCTGAAATTCCCCCAAATTATTTTTCGGTAGGATTTATAATTTATGTCTTGAATAATAACGTAAAGTCAAATCCAGGCTGATAGGTAGTCATGAGCCCTGAGAAAAGTTTCAGATGGCTGGAAAGGACTTGGGTTTCACCTGACAGCTATTTGAATATTAGAAAGCCTCAGGGAGACCTCTTTCCTTGTGTCCCCCAGAGGTGAGTGAGATTCTCAAACACCTGAAGTTACTCTTATAAGTTAGTATCTATAATTGTGAAAGTACAGACTTTTGTTGTTCCTGAATTAATGCTATGAAATTTCCCTCCTCCTACTGGGAGTGTTTTTCTCATTTGTTTCCAGTGGGGCAAATAGAGGAGATGCTAGAGTCACTTGACTGACTCTAGAGTCACATTTCACTGACAGACACCTCATATGTTAACTTTGCTATTTTTTGCCACTTTCCTGCCTGCTTCTGTCAAATACCTCATGGCAAGGTCTATAAACATTGTAATATTAAGTATTTTGTGCTATACATTGTGATGGGCAGTTTGTATATGTTATTTCATTATCTTCTTAAAACAACCCTATGAGGTAGAAACTATAATGACCCCATTTTGTAAAGAAGAAACTTAGGTTTAGAGAGAGTTGCTAATCTTTGCGTAAGGCTCACACAGCACCTACCTGTGAAGGCTGGGGTTCCAGGCAGGCCTCACAGAGCCCATCCTCTTAAACTACCGTGCACAGCTGCTTAGATTCAGGGTGTGTGATGCCAGCGGCAGAGCTGGGGTCTGTGGATCAGTTTTACAAAGAGACAGATTCCAATTCAGTGCAATAAGGAACTTTCTGGTAGTTAGCACTCAAGAAAGAATTCCCTGGGAGAAAGTGGAAGCACTTTCAGTATCCAGTCAATCTGAACTGATTATAGGAATGTTGCTGAGGAGGTTCAGGGTCTGAATTGGCTGTACTGTTTGAGCACTGTCTGAGAGTCCCTCCTCTTTATGCTTCTGTGACCTCTAAACCACCAGATAAATGCTGTAACGGACACTCAAAGAAACGTATGGTGGGGACTCATTAGAAATCCTCTCCCATTGCAAATAGAACCCCCAAATTATTTTTTGGTGAGTCAGCATTTGCATAACGAGTCTTTCTTTAATATAAATCAACCCTATTGACGTGGTCATTGTAAACTCTTCTTCATTGACCCACTGACTCAGATTTTAGGGTTAGAAAAATCTCAGTGTTCTTATGTCCTTCCATCTCAATTTACTAAAGAGTAACCAGGGTTAGCCATCCTTACTCATTCATTCTCAAAATATTTCCTGCGAACCAACAGTGTGCCAAGCATTGTGTTTAAGCACTGTGGCAAGGTAGGGCAGTAGCTAGCCACTTCCTGGCTTCTGCTTACTGTTGGTTTTAAGGAAAAAATCTTCTCAGGTGGCCAGAATTGAACAGCTTCTCTTTAATTTTTGAATTTAAAAAATAATCTATTTCCATTAAAAAATCAAGTAGTGTGGTACTGAATAAAGTAAAAAAAAAATCCCATCTCACTTTCCAGAGGTAGTCATCACTAATACTGTGATGAGTATTTTTACTCAAAGGAAATCCTACTGTTAAGCAGCTTTCTTTTGACTTAATATATTGTGGTCATTTTTTCATGTCAATACATAGATTAATGTTGTATTTCAAATGTTTGTATAAAATATCACTACCCAGATAACTCATAATTTGGGTAGCCAGCAATCTATTGATGAACACTTAGGCTGTTTTAAGTTTTCTCTGTTACTAAGAATGTCACAGTGAATATTTTTATGTTCATATTCTTATATTCATTAAATTCTTTTCCTCACATGTCTATGCACTCGTTCCAATATGTCTATAGTGGGAATACATTCGTAAAAGTAAATTGCTACATCAAAAGTATGTTCATTTTAATTTGGGGAGATAATCATAAAGTTTCCTCCATAAAAATAGGACCAGTTTACACAACCACCAATAGTATACAAGAGCTTTTTTTGGTCCAAGCAATAACTTTTCTGATTGTTTTTGTCCTTTAAGAAGAACCTTCTTTCCGTCGTTGTCTAAGGACCTCAACTTTTTTGTCATTGGGTTTTAGTTGTCCTACAGCAACAGAGACTGACTCGCTGCATAGTGGGTAGTCCAGCAGTGACTAATTCACTGCATGTTGAACACATTGTTACTCTCATCTTTTTACTTGAAAACATTGACCTTTCCTACTTTCTATATAGTGGTGGTGAGGGTCGCCTTGTAAATGAGCTGACTTGGGTGAGAGCCCTTGGTAAAGTGCAAAGCACAATACAAACACATCCACAAGTCCTTTCAGCCTCACTTGCCCCATCTGTATAAGGAGGATAGTAATGCTCTGCTTCTTCCCAAACCAATTCAACTCAGCAACCATTTCCTGAGCACCTGCTAAATGCCAGGCAAGATGCAAGGTCTTGAAGTTACCATGCTGAAGAGTACCGATCCCCAAATCAAGAAGCTCATAGTCTGAAACCTTTTTCCTTTCTTTTCTTTTTTCTCAAAAACCTTTTATGTTTCCTTAAAGGAGTAAGAAGTTAGGGGTTTGTTTAGTAAGAGCCCCTGAAGAGAGGCCTTTTATCACTCTTAAATTTGAATAATTCCAAAATAATATTAACAGCACCCCTTGACTAGAAATGAAAGAAAAGGAACATACTGTATGAAGGGCCTCTCTGATAATAAATGCAGAGCAGCTGTAAAAATACAGGGTCAAATGATACTTTCATAAAGCATTTGCAAAATTAGAAAATATTATCCTTTTTCCAGGGGGAAATGGGACAATTTTATTTTCTCTGCCAAGTGAAATGCAACTTTTTCAAAGGTCAACAAACTAGAATTTACAGTATATAGAACAGAAAGGATGGAACTAACATTAAAACAACTTTACGTATTCTATTGCATATAACTTTTGAGAAGGTGAAAAGAATTTTAAACAGAATATGCTTGTGGAGCTCAACTTGGGAAATAAAACACCCAAGATGTTTTAAACATAACTATCCACGTGTAATATCATTGTGCCTGCATGATGATTATGTAAACATTAAATGCAATTCTGTGTTTGCTTTCTTCATATGACTTTTTACATTTGACTAATACTACTTTTGTTAATTTTTTTTTAAGTTTGATTTTCACTCTGGAGTGTGGGGGTCTGAGGGAAAGAGCAGTCAGATTAATAGCTCTGACCCTCCCATTCCCATTTCTCCATCATGAAATTATTCTCTATCACTTCATTCTGTTTATTCCTTTTACATTATTTATCAATTTGTAATGATCTGTTTGTTTACTGCGTTCCTTAATAATTTATTATTATTAATCTGTCTTATCCACCACTACATCCTCAGGATCTAGCATAGTGCCTGTCACATAGCAGGTGTTCAATACATACTTGCCAAATTGCATGTGTCACAGGCTGTCCATAACTAAGACTTAGCTCTCCGTTTAACTCTCATGCCCTTGTCTTCATTTATTCACTTCAAATCTTACCAAGTGCTGCTAGATGCCAGACACTTTGTAAAGTACCAGGGATACAATGCAAAACAGACATGATCCTAGCCCCCATGTGATTTATATTTTATCCAAAGAACATTCAACTGAAATTAACCAAAGCTTTTTCCATTTATTTTCTTTCTCCCCTTTCTTTATCCCATATTTGAACTTCTAGGCCATTTAATGTTCATTGCCTCAAGAAAGGGGTGTGACATCAAAAAGCAGAGGAAAACATGCTCTTTTGAGTTTCAGAAGTCTGGCTCCTTAGGGAACTGGAAAGGATTCATGATTTCAATCAAAGATTTGAGAGCACATATGATGAGGAAGAATAAGGTCTTCCTATTCCCTGCCTAGGAAATAATTCCCCTCACTGTGGGAGGGAAGAAAGAACGAAAATGTTGGTGGGGCTCAGAGAAAGATACCTGGGCCCCACCTCCTGAAAGCAGCAAAACCCCAATTATATTCATGAGTTTTGAGAGCAGAGGAGACCCATTCCTCACTGTACACTAGGATGGAAATGATTGCAGGGTGTGCCTAGGCAGATGGGGCCTTGGACAACTCCAGTGAGCTTCCTCCAGCCCGATGTGGTCCAAACTGGAAGATCAGATTGACTTCCATGAACCCAAAAGGATCACGGGAGCAGCAGGAAGACCCGCTGGACCTGAGTGAGGATTTTTTCCATTCAATCCACATGGCCTCTCAATGAAACTCAGTTTGGATAATGACATCAGACCATCAAAATTTGGAGTGCCTTGGCGCTAGATAAGCCTCCTGGAGTTTAGCAATGACTCCAAAGAACGGAGGGAAGTACAAGTTGACTGAGATTAGCGTTGGTCAAGCTCATTTATTCTCTACTCCTGATGGTTCCTTGTTCGTGGAGGGAGCTACTTACAGTAACACTTCCGGCCCATCTCTGCCTCTGCACTCTCAGGCAGTGACCTACATGCTTGGTGGGCTTGGGATAAAGAACAAGACGTACTGTTTCTAGAACATTTCTCAACTATATTCCCTTTTCTCTGTTCCATGCAAACACTGCCTATTTGTTTTTCAGATCTTTCTCATTTATTACCTGGATAATTGCAACGTAGGCGATATACCTTCCTCCCTCTCTACCACCTCTGTCCCCATCAATCTACCCACCAGATTTCTGTCAGAATTATCTTTCTGAAACACAAATTTGATTCTCTTGCCCCCTTGCTACTCTTCAGTGGTTTCCTAGCACCTCCTATTATCTGAGCCCTTCCACTTTCTCTCCAGCCTCATTTTTCATCCCCAACAGTCGCTCAAATAGACTGTACTCTCTGTCTGGGAAACTTCTCCTGCCTCATTCCCTCATCAGGTTCTTTCTCATCATTCAAGACACTACTCTCATTCCACCCTTTCTATGAAGATCTTGACACATGCCACCTTCCCCATGCCCAGCACTGGCGCTCTACGGATGCCACCTCTGCATTTTTTCATATATGTCCACCCCTCTTCCCACGCAGGAGTGGTGGCAAGAACTTCCACCCCGAGGGGAGTTGCTGACCTGTTTGTCCAGACACTCGTTGGGTTACTACATTTATTTACTAATTAATTTCTGTCTAATGAGCTGGGTTACTGAATCTTAAAGGCTTGAAATCTGGTCCTACCCCTGTTGTGCTTCCTTTCTCCTCGTGGTAATG